AGACAGAACAGGGGAGGGACAGAGAGAGAGAGAGGACAGAGACACAGAATCCAGAGCAGGCTGGTTCCAGGCTCTGAGCAGTCAGCACAGAGCCTGACGTGGGGCCTCGAACCCACGAGCCGTGAGATGATGACCTGAGCCGAAGTTGGACGCTTAACTGACTGAGCCCCAATATGCTTCATTTTCTATGTATGATCCGTAATTCATGTTCAGACTCTTACCAGAAGTATAAGCCTTCCCTCAGTATTTTCACGCTCATCTGAGAATCCATCAGTTTCTTCTTTGTCTGGAGAACATACCTTCTGAAGCCATTTATCTTAGTACTCTAGTCTGGTCCAGCTGAGCGCTAGGCTTGTTGCACTGATTTCATCCTAGAAACTCCCTTCATCGTTCTGGGGATTTCCCTTGGTTTTTCCTGTGTAGGATCCCCTCTATCATAAATTCCTATGTTTTTCTCTCTACATTTACTTCCTCATCTTGATAGAGTACCCCTTCTAGTATAGCTTCCTGAGAAAGGGTACTAGACAAATTTTTCAAGACCTGCAGGTCTTACAATTCTTTATGTTAACTTATATTTGAATGATAGTTCAGCTGGTTAAATAGTTCTAGGCTGCAAATAATTTTTCCCCAGAATTTTGAAGACATATTCCACTTTTTTCTTTTAAGTGTACAATCTTTTTGTTTTCTTTAATTTTTTATTTTGGACGGGGAGGGGCAGAGGAAGAGGGAGAATCTTTTTTTTTTTTTTTTAACGTTTTTTTATTTATTTTTGAGAGAGAGACAGAGTGTGAGCAGGGGATGGGCAGAGAGAAGGAGACACAGAATCGGAAGCAGCTCCAGGCTCAGAGCCGTCAGCACAGAGCCCAAGTGGGGTTTGAACTCACAAACTGTGGACATTTAACTGACAGCCACCTAGGCGCCCCGTGGAGGGAATCTTAAGCAGGCTCCACACCCAGCTTGGAGCCCAACTCGAGGCTCAATCTCATGACCATGAGATCGTGACCTCATCCAAAATCAGAGTCAGACGCTTAACTGACTGACCCAGGTGCCCTGTTGTAATTTTTAATTCCAGTATAATTTACATGCAGTATTCTGTTGTTTCATATGTACAATATAGTGATTCAGCCACTTTCCACTTGTAGTTTGTAGTGTAGGGCGAAGTCTGATTCTGTGAATATTTCTACCTTCCTCCTGACACAACAAAGGCCTAGACTGGTCTGTCTCTGAACCATCCCTGTCCCCATCTATAGCATTATTGCCATCTAGCAGCAATATGATTATTGTGTGTCTTTTTTACTTCCAAATTAGTCATTGTTATCATTATTGTTTTATACAGTGATTGTTTAGATTTATACATATTTTTGGCAAATTTTTGGCATTTCAGTCCTTCCTTGTGGGTCTAGCTTCCTTCATCCCAAAGTACACCTCTGCGAAGTCCTTCAGTAAGAAGTGGTTGGGGAATAAATGGATTTTCTTTGTTTGAAAAATGTCTTTATTTTGCCCTCATTCTTGAATAATTGCCCAGTCAGATATAAATTCTAAGTTGACATTTATTTTCTCCCAGCATTTTAAATACTTATTTTAGTGAAATAAAACATTTAATAATTTAATTATTTTATGGTCTACAGTGACCCTAAAAGCTTCTATTCGAAGCTGTTGGGGATCAGATTTTGCTCTTTATTTCTGCTGATTCTTACCCACAGTGGTTTGTTTCCTTCATGTGTTTTATAATGTTGGAGGGTGAGTTAATGTTTGATGATGCTTTATATGAGGAAATTTTGGGAACCCTGAGCTAAGCTGTGCCTCTAGAATTGATTTGCCTTTAGTTACTTGAAAGTATGCCAAAGGTGTTAGGAGCTGGGATTACTTTTTATGTTAATTTCTCTGTTTGATGGTGATGGTAGTGGATTCTTAGACCACATAAGTAATGTGAATTTGAATTCCAAATTCTTGGGAGACATATGGTTATGAATTCTCAGAGAAGACATTTTTCCTGCAGAGCCAGGCTAAGAAAGTATTCCTTTTAAAAGGTCTCTTGGTGGATGGATTATTTTCTGATTTACCTTTTCTCCTAGATCCATGTGGGATTTCTCAATTCTAACTCCTCACTCTAGGCAGGTGCAAGACCTTATCTCCTGATCTCCTGGGCGTGTCAGGCTCATCGGTCCCAAACCCTTTGCTTTTAAGCCCACAAACTCCCTCAGGGCAGTCAGCATTGGCTTTCCCCACTGTGGTTTTCAGTTTTCTCATTATTTGGGGTCATTTGTGGAATCTTACTTATTGATTTTGTGAACTTAGCAGTTAGGTGGGATTTGTATTTATATTTTAACTGGTATTTTTAGATATTTTGTATTAGAAAGGCTTTTTTTGTTTTGTTTTTAATGTTTATTTATTTTAACAGAGAGAAAGAGAACATGTGGCGAGGAGGGGCAGAAAGAAAATCCCAAGCAGGCTGCACACTCACTGTCAATGCAGAGCCAAACTCGGGGCTCGATCTCAGGAACTGTGAGATCATAACCTAAGTGGAAATCAAGTCACGCTTAACCCACTGAACCCCTGTATTAGGAAGGCTTTTAAATTACTGGTCTCCACTATTACCTGAAATGAAGCCAAAATCCTGTGTTTTGTGGGGTTTTGTTTTGTTTTGTTTTTTCCTCTTTCTCCTTAATGTCCTGAAATTTCTTGACAGTGTGCCCTGATGGGGGACTTTTTTCATTCATGGAGCTGGTACTCGGTGGAAACTTTCATTCTGGAAACTCCTTTTCGTTCTGCAACATTTCTTTCTTTTTTTTTTTTTTCATATTATACATTTCTAAAAAGTTTTTCTTTTCTTTTTTTTAAATGTTTATTTATTTTTGACAGAGAGAGACAGAGAGACAGAGCATGAGTGGGGGAGGGGCAGAGAGAGAGGGAGACACAGAATCTGAAGCAGGCTCCAGGCTCTGAGCTGTCATCACAGAGCCCCGATGCGGGACTCGAACTCACAGACCACGAGATCATGACCTGAGCTGAAGTTGGATGCTCAACCAACTGAGCCACCCAGGCGCCCCAAAAGTTTTTCTTGTGTTTCCTTTTTTATACTGTCTATGTGTTTATGGAACGCAATGTATTCCTTTATCTCTCCAAGGATATATAGGGTATTGTTTTTAGGTTTCTTCTGCTTTCCTGTATTGTCTCTATTTCCTATAAGTCT